TACAAAATTCTGGTTGTTAATTGCAAAGCCTCCATGGCATAGAACCTGATTGTCTGAGGGACTACCTATCTCTTGTTGTTGCCTGCCCATTATATTCAGGCAGAGTGGATCCATTCCAAGTCTCTTCTATGAAATGTTGCCATGTTTTGAGACCAAGGAAGCATGTTTTTTCTGTCACTGAACAGCATCTCACCAGAGGTAAGGGTGGTAGGAATCCACTCTCCTTGGCTTCCAAAAAACCCTTAAAACCTGGCTCTGTTCCTAGGCCTGGGATAAATGAGTTTGTTGGGCCCCAATTTTATATTTTTATTGTGATTGTTTTTAGTCCAGACTTTCTCATTTTTTGTTTTCAATTGTTTTAATCACATAATGGATTTTGTAGCCTATCCAGGGTCTACTAGATTGGTTGGCTATTTTATGGATAATTTCATGGATAAATAAGTAAATAAAAGCCAATATTTATAATCATTCAACAGACATCCCAAACACATTTTTAATTTAATCTATAGTTCTTGTAGCAAAATTGATAAAGTGTTTTAAAAGATAGATACTGTTGTACCCTTTCTGGCATAGGGTATCAAACTGGAAGACACTGAATATTATTGGGAGAGGGGAATTATCAATACTTTGCAGGAAAAACAAAGTTTTGACATAAACTGCTAGATTATAATATTACTAACATTAAATATATTGGATTGTTCATGAAGTGTAAACAGTATTTAGTCTACATGAACAATCCAATGTATCTTATTTATTGCAACAAACCTTCAGATTTCAAAAGCATAGCTAACTTTCCTCAATTTGGAATAGTCGAAAGTAGGCTATATTAGTCAAAACTTTCATCTGTTATTTTTTTCTAGAAACTTGTTGATGCTAGGTATTCCTTAATGGAAACTCATATTCCACATAGTCACAGTTGTGATTTTTGCAAGAATACATAGTTGTCCATAGCTGCCTCCATAAATTTGTTAATATCTTTTTGACTATATCCTCAAGATACTTCATTGAAATAGAAAATATTCTTACGTTCTTAAGGAATACTGTTTAATACCAAGTAAGCATGCTGTTGACTCCATAGTTTACTCATTTATCTGCTTTATACAAAAATATGAATTACAATAATTGAACTTTTAATTACCATAATTTGGGATCTATGTCAGTAAACATGCTTGAGTCTCTTACAGAATTGCAAACAAGCATGTCCATCTATGAATGTTATTTAAGAGCTTCTCCTCTGTTCATAAAACAATCCGTGATAAAATATGACCTAATAAAGCTAGAGATGATTGGAAGGATTAATAGTCTTATCTATTAATGCTGTCTTGTAATGACTCATCTTGAAAGTCTTAAGACTGTTCATTCCTCACACATTCATTCTCTTTAGCTGGCTGTGTATAGTTTCCTAAACATAATTCTCATTTTAAAACGTGAAAGACAAAAGTATTTCACGAAGTATTTCCTGACATCTACAAGTTCGCAGGAGATATATTTTTTCACCTGCCACTACCTAGGATTGAACTCTCAATCTTACGAGTGGGAGGCGAGCGTCTTCAACACTAGGCTACCACACTACTCAAATTCCCTTCAAGATAAATAATAAAAAAATAAATAAATTTCACTTCAGATTAGGTTAAAGTTTTGTTGCTGGAATGGTACTGGGATATATCAGGACCACCATGCCAAATGTCATTCACCATGTCTAAAGATTGCCTATTAAATCCACTTTGAGCATAAGCTCAAAGATCAGCCACCACACTTTGGAATATGTTCTTGCAAATATTTATTTTTATTTATTTGGTTTGTGAGTTGCTTACAAGATAATAGGTATAAGTAAAAAGATAGTTATGAATACATGGATACATATAAGAAAAAGAAAAAAGAAAAAGAAACAATACGACAGGGACGGTAGGCACGTTGGTGCGCTTATGCACGCCCCCTACAGACCTCTTAGGAAAGAGGTGAGGTCAATAGTAGACAGTCTAAAGTTAAAGTTTTTGGGGTTTGGGAAAGAAACCACAGAGTCAGGTAGAGTATTCCAGATATTGACCACTCTGTTGCTGAAGTCATATTTCCTGCAATCAAGTTTGGTGCGATTAACCTTGAGTTTGTATCTATTGTTTGCTCTTGTATTGTTATGGTTGAAGCTGAAGTATTCATTGACAGGTAGGACATTGCAATGTATGATTTTATATACTATACTTAGATCGGACCAAAGGTGTCGTAGTTCTAGGTTTTGGCCCTTACCCTTCTCTCATTCAGGAAAGTCCTAGACACCATTTTGTATCAATAGACATTTGGCCTGCAAGTCAACTGTTGCCATCTTCTACATTATATTGTTTTTAATGTTTGAGATATTCTGTTTCCAGTTTGCTCCTTATATACTACCATTGATTGTAGCAGTGTATGTATATTATAAAATAAATAAAACAATAAAAGCATAATTGAAAGTCTGCTTTACCCTTTAACACTGAAGATTATGAAACAAAGGTAAAAAGATATTTTAAATAGACTGAGCATGAAATAATACAATCTAACCAGGACTGCATTAAAAATAAGCCTGAAATTGTCTTGTTCACACCATTCAGTTTAAAATGCCAACTTCTAACCGTGAGTTCCAAATTTGCTCAGTTCAACTATATTACAGTTAAAGCTCATCTCAATTCCAAATCATGACACAGCAAACTCTGATAAACTGAATCAGATGGAAATACTTCTAATCTTTTCCTTACAGTAGTAGTAAAGAATAACAAAGTTCATTCACATACCTACACACTACACTATGGTTTAACAGTCTCCATACATGTAGCTAAATATTTCATTCATGTGCAACTGTCATGTGAGAAAAATGTCAGATATTAGTAGAACTAGCTTTGCACTTATCTCACATACTTTACATTCAAAAGGAATTAATTCCTTATGTATTTTCTTATATTTTCACAACTGCAAGAATGCTCTGATTTTCAAACTCCACTTTTAAAAACCATCTAGTTCTCTCACTGTTCAACCAGGTTTTGTCATACTTTGTTTCCCAGAATTATATTGTATCTGCTATGTTCCAAACCCATTTGTTTGCCTATGTCATATCCTTGATCATTATTTAATCAAAGATGGACTTTCTTTCAACAGTCAGTACTGCTAAGCCTTTGTCGCCAATTCCCTGTAAGCTTCTTCAGTGTGCATTAGTTATTGCACTGTTACTATTATCATTGAGATAATAAATCAATTGCTATTATTTGGTAATTTATTAAACAAATTTATATAGCTGCCCAACTCACACATGGGTAATTCCTGGCAGCTTTCAAAATTTTTAAAAATCTACCATAAAAACCCTCTAACCCCCCATCCATCTACCCACTCCCATAGCAGCAACAACAATCAAATTAGTGACTCCATTCATTTTTCACAGACCTCCTGACAAAACTATGTTTTTATCCTCTTGTGGAAAATCAAAAGAGTGGGGACCATTTATTAGATTTTTATTTGCCTGTATTAATTTTTATGTAAATAAAGGAAGGAAGCAAACATACATAATATTCCTTCCTATTTTCCTAACAACAAGCCTGTAAAGTTGGTCAGGCTGAGGCAGTGTGACAAGCCCAAAATCATCCAGCCAGTTTTCGTGCCTATGGTGGGACTATAACTCAAGTCTACCGGTTTCTATTGAAAATTGGAGCAACAGCCTTCGTATTTATTCAATCTATAATGATTTTACACCTATACCTTGCTGTCAATTCACAACTAAGTTGACATACTATATTAAGCCAAAATATAATTTGCTTTTTTTCTATCTTAGTGTGTTGTGTGAATCCATTCACCGAACTTTGTAAGTATAGGACATGGTTTTGTGTAAACCCAACCAATGAAAGTTTAGTTAGGAGAGAGTTAATATGATGTTTGAGTTACATCTATGTCTATTTTATATTAGTTTGGGTATATAGTACCTAATTGAAATGAATAATTTTCCAGTTGATCTCTTGCAGAATGTATGGCAAATTTAGCCTAGCCAAGCTAGGAACAAGTAATTTCTATTGCATTGTGAAAATATGCATATGGAATTTATTCAAGTTCTTTCACAATATCTATTAAGTTCATAAAATTCTAGATAAAATACATATATTAAACATATAAATAACCTGTTTTCCCCTTTTGAGAATTCATCAATACAATCTCTATTTGCTTAAATGATTTACATTTCCAATATCTGTGTACAGTATTAAGCATAACTGCCTGTCATTCTTCTGAGCTGTATTATCACCATTAAACAGTAGGAGTTATCAAGCATTATCAGTTTCTCTATAATACCTAGGCTGGTGCATTATTGAACACTACACAACCATCTATTTACAAGTACACCCTACTACCTAACTCAGATATTAAACGCCATTCTTACGCAAACCGTTGACAAATTGGTCAACGGTTCCTCCTTCTTGGGTTTGGTAAAATGTGTGCTTGGAAAGTTAAGAGCGCTTTCCTTTAAAAAAAAAAAAAAAAGTGTAGACCCAATCCCGTACTGAAGAAAATAGCACAACTGTGTTACGAGTTAAAAGAGAAGATACACAGCAATTGGGAATATAAACACGCTTCTCTGTGAATGCAGAGCCCAGTTTCATCCAGCCAGCCAGCCAGACTTAGAAATGTTATCGATATGCCGCATGGAGAGGGAGAAGCCCCTTTCTGTTTGGCGATCTGTCAGTGCCAAGTGAGCCGTCCCCTTACCGAAGCTTCGTTTTGCTCACCCGGACCCTGCAAATTACTTAAGTAACTCATATGCCACAGCTAATAAACCCCAACGCCAGTCTCAAGCCCATTTCGCCCGTCTTCGGGCGCTTCCCCGGATACGAGACATATGGGAAGCCGGTGCTCAGCGAGAGGCCTAGGTGTGTTCAGGGCAAAAAACCCACGACAGTGAGTCAAACACAGGCCAGGGAGAGAAAACTAAGAACCCCAGCAAGAAGTCGCGTCTGAAAGAGGAGAGGCAAGCCCACTAACAGCCGGTTTACCTGAGGTCGCGAACGCAGAGCCTCTCGGATCCAAAGCCAAACCTCAGCACCAGCAACACAAGATGGCTACCGTGCTACCACGCAAGGTCATGTGACCTCACTGCCGTGGCCCCGCCCTCTTTCGATAAGCTGGGTAAGAGGAAGCGGCTCGCGGAACAAGGAAGAACTTTCCAATGCGGCGCTCGCTGGTGTAGAAGATTGCCCAGCTTTCTCTCTCTCTCTCTCTCTCTCCTTTTACGACGCAGCCGCGCTCTCCAAAATCCTGAACTATAAGTGGTGACTTCGGTTCATAGCGGACTGGCTCACATGATACACTACGTCAAACCAAGAAAGCCGACGCTGTGGTTTAGCAATGCGATCATATTGAAGAATTCCCTCTCCCGAAGAGCCTAGCTGTGTCGCGTTTTTTTAAAGATCCGTGTGATATTCTCCCCCCCCCCCCCCCCCCCCCCGTCTATCAGGCTGTTAAAAAACGAAAGTCGCGTATGTCTGGTATTTTTTGAATTCTATTATGTTGTGTTAAGATTTAATTTTCATCGTAAACTTGATATAAGGTAGTTTGTTTTCAACAAATGACAAGGAATTCCCACACAGCACACTACGTAGTCTTTATTTTATTGCAAAAGGCAGATTCCAATAGCAAAGACCATTAGATACTTCCAAAACAATTCAGTAATTGAGACCTGCATATTTGCATGGCACCTGCAAATTATAAGGTTCCACAGAATGTTGGTAATCCATTCCAGTAAAACTTCTATCTAGTTCTTCTTGCTTAGTTTCTGTCTTCAAGCAAGAACAGCCTATAATTTTATTTCAGGTCAGATGGAGTCAGGAACTCAGTTGGTTACACGCAAGTTGGTTACACCCAATTTGCCCATATCTTACTCTTCGTTGTCCTTTGCCAAGTTGCTCCCTTTACAAATCCCGGTGTAGTAACGTTGGGGTTACAGCTCTATTCCTTTTCTAGCATGCATCTTATTTGCCATGTTGCATCGTGTTTGCATATTAAGAGTGGCTTTTCTGTCCTCTCTAGTCTTATACTGTGCTTTGAGCTGCAGAGGAAGGGAGTAAATAGATTCAGAGAGAGATTATAGGATTCAAAATTACATTTATCGTTAATTATGCCAAGTTCACACATTGTGCTCAAATATATTTTTCCTGTTTTATTTTAAAGCTTTTAATAATTGTTAATGTTGTCTTTCACCATTGCTGTATGTTGCCCAGAATCACTTGTTTATGAGATGGGTGGCCATATAAATTTGACAAATAAAACCATGGTTTGAGTAACCATGGCTTGGATAAAGTTCAGCTTTGTGGTCTGAATTCATAATTGCATTAATCAATGAATCTTAGTTTATAAGATATAATAGCTGAATTCAACTAGTATGCTATGTCAAAACCAAATGATTTGCTATGTATGAACGGTTGAACCCAGTCTGTTACTGAAATACTTCAACATTACAATCTCTAGTACTATATAATGGATATTCCTTTCTACCTAAAACTTGATGTTGCAATAGACTACGTATTAGACCTGAAATAAAAATTAAATTCCCATCGCTATTTTTTTTACTATTTTTTCAATTAATACTGTATCCTTTTCTAGTAAAAATTCTTAGCTCAACCATCTTAATATGTGCTTGTTTAATGGGCTGTTCATAGCAAAAAATAATCCTTTCCCAATTTAGAATGTTTTTAAAGTCTAGGGAAAAAAGAAAGAAAATTAGGCATAATAAGAATTCCAAAGACTGCTATGTTACAAAAGCCTCAACATTTCTCTAATCTTGTAATTCACAATTTGCAGAGAAAGCATTGCTGGTAACTTCTCTATCCATGCAGTCATGTCTGGAAGAAAGTAGCTTCATACTTGCTGTATAGGGCCTGAGAAGGTAAAAACAAGCAATTTGGATGCAGTTTCAAAACTGAAAGGTGTGTTCCATATGGTCAGTCCTATTTGTAAATTAGTGCCTGTGTTTTTACTGTTTGAAGAAATCAGAGTCCTTTCAGACTTGAGTAGTATATACAGATAGTCTTTGACTTACAACCATTTGTTTGATGACTGATTGAAGCTACAACAGCTCTGAAAAATCAGACATGACCATTTTATAACCATTTTTATAACCACTGCAGCATCCCCATGGTCACGTGATCAAAATTCAGGCACTTGGTAACTGACTCATATTTATGACCAGTGTCCTAGAGTCATATGATCATCTTTTGTGAACTTCCAATAAGCAAAGTCAATGGGGAAACCAAAATCACTGAACAAACATTACTAACTTAAAAAGTGCAATGATTCCCTTAACAATTGTGGCAGGAAAGATCATAAAATGTAGCAAAACTCACTTAACCATCTTGCTTAGCGATGGAATTTTTGGGTTTAATTGTAGTTTTAAATCAAGGATTACCTGTAATCCCAACTAAATAAATAGAATAGAATTCTTTATTAGCCAAGTGTGACTGGACACACAAGGAATTTGTCTTGGTGCAAATGCTCTCAGTATACATAAAAGAAAAGATACATTCGTCAGAAGTCAAGAATGAAGGCTTCCGGTTTTGGACTTCCCCGAAGACGGACTGCTGACCGTGATCGTTTGTGGCTATGGTCCGTGCTTCTTTATCAGAGAGCCCCGATCATCTAGATCTGGGGCAGAAGCCGCCTTGTAGGGGCGGTGGAGGAAGGAGAGACTGTCAGCCTGGTAGAGGGGAGTCGCAAATCCCCTCCCTGGCTTGGCAAATGCTCCCTCCAAAGACGTCTGAAGCAGTGGTCTAAAATGGCCACCCTGAAGGGGAAGTATAAGCTGGAATAAGATTGTGCAGGAGAGAGAAAGAAGCGGACAGCAGGAGAAACGGGACACTATAATTAAATGAAAGGTACCCCAGGATTAATCTTTAAGAATTTTTAAGAAAGGATTTAAAGCGGTGAAGAGGAAGGAGAAAAAAAGGGGTGAATTGTCTCTGACAGCGGTGGGGCTTTGAACCGAGAAAGGTAGAAGCTGGAAGAAGAAACCATTTAATTAATTTGGATAAATATATTCTGATTTTACATAGGCACTAATAAAGCTGAACTTGAGACTGTTAAAGGGAAAACTTAATACCAATTGGATTTGACTTTTTTATTGGAAGATTTTTTTTAGTAAAAGTTTTATTGGGTTTTCACAAAACATAATAAAAATAAAACATCTTTTTTTGAGAGCAGCATGATTCCAGGTTATTACATCTCCATACAGACATAATCTCAGTTACATATTCATCTTTGTATTCAATTTCATATCACTATTTTATCAATTTTTCAATAATTCTTCTCTTCCCTTACTTTCCTCAGCCTTATTTTATAATTATCTCATTCCTTTCTAATTCAATTACATATCTTTTTCTAAATTTCTATATCTTTCTAGTCATTATACTTGTACTTTTGTCTGTCCTATTTATAATTTCATAGATTCTTTTCCATCATCATCCCGAAAGGGAAGAGAAAGAAGAAAATTCCTTCCCCTTCCAGGCATTAAAAAGCAAGGTTCCCCCTAATAGAGTGTGTCACCTTTATATTTTACAATTATCCTTTCAAATCTCATTAAACATTTAATTTATACATTATGCAATTATAACATTCAATTTCTAATATCTATTTTATATCATATAACTCTTATCAACCGAATTCCGCTTGGTACTTTTCCTTAACAATACACACTTAATTCTAAAAAAAGAAAATATATATAAAAATAATGAATAAAATGATTAATCCATTCAAATTCATCCTGACAATTGATATTGATTTCATTATAAATCTTTCACATTTCTCTTCAATTGTGTTTTACAAATCCTTAAAAACAATTACATTATTTTCATTCATTCCTCTTACTTCCTAGTAAGCATTCCATTACATCACAATATCAGTTTTATCTTTCACTTTAATCATGTTTCATATTTTCTAGCTCATTACTATTTCTAATATAACAACACTATCTCTTGTACCCTTGCAGAATCCTCTCTTTTAATTTATATTTTAACCATTATCTCTCTTTTAAGTAAGCTAATACCTTTAATCCTTGTATCCCATTTCTTTATTTCCTGTTTCTGTCCCTTATAACTTCTTTTCCTTTTTATCTTTCCCCTCTTTTTCTCTCCACCCTTTTTGTCCCTCTGTCTCTGATTCTCTTTTCTGCTTCTTCCTAATGTTATATTTACTTTTCAAACTATTGTTTTTCTTAGTTGTTTCCCCAAGGCTTAAACTTTTAACTCCTTTTCCCCCTTTTTCCATTTTACCCCACATTGCACTGTTTGGTCGTTAAAGACGGCTTCTTCTTCGTCCAACCCTTCTTGTTCTTCAAGCATTTCTTGTTGTTTTTCATAGTTCAAAATCTCCATTTCTAAAAATTGAAGCGCGAAGCCAAAGGATCCTTTTCCCTCTTATGACTCTTCTTTCATTTTTTTAAGTTCCATTTTTAATTCCTCAAGGAGTACTGCCATTTTAAACACTTTTAAACAACCACCCAATTGATTTTAATTCAAACCACTAAAAATCCAACACCCAAAATTCCAAAAATCACCAAGTAATCCAGAGCTCTTTCTTCTTGCTTCTTCCACTTTTCCTTTCCAGGGGCTCTGTTATATTGTAGCAAAGTTTCAGTTACAGTATATCCTTTGGAAATCTTTTTAAAGTTTCACAATTAATTCTTTTTATTTCCAGGTGATATTCTCTGTTATTTCCAAGTCCATCCTTTCTTTTTCTCTCCATTTTCCTCCTTTTGAGGACTTTAGAATGTCCAAAAAAAATCTTTATTTTCCCTTTGACACTTTAATTTCAGTTTAGGATTACCTGTTAGTGTCAAAGTAAATCAACACAAGTCTCTTCTTTTTTAACTTTCAAAGCCAATTTCAGCTATCAATGTGAGAAATATTTTTTTTTCCTTTTCCCCTCTCCGCCGCTTTAAAAATCTTCTTTTAGGAATAACGCTCTTTAATAATTTTAGTTCCAGGGTACCTTGCATAAATAGCTTAGCCCAGTCTGTCAAGCTCTCTCCCTTTGTCTTCCTTCCTGCTCAATCTTGTCTGGTCAGGTTCTTCTTTGATGTGGCTGTTTCTGACCACCGCTGCAACTGCCTTTGGGAAAGGGAAATAATGCCAAGCCAAGGAGGAGAGATGTGGCTCCCCTTGACTCAGCTGGTGGTCTCTCCCCTCTTCACCACCTCTACGGGGTGGCTTCAGCCCTGAATCCAAAGGATCGGGGTGCTCCAACAGCAAGCACGGATTGAAACCGCACACGATCGCAGAATTCAGTCCGTCGCTAAAGAAGCCCAAACCGGAAGCTCCCAGAAGATTGTGGTTTAAAAAGCCGAATAGCTAAATTAAAAAAAAAGGGGTGAAGATTTGTTATAATAAAGAGTGCCATCTAATGGTTAAATTTAATTTTTTTTCCCTAAAAGACTCTGTTTCTTAAAAACTGTAAGGAATATTGATACAATAAAACAAGAACTTTGAAAAATTGAATCATTGAAACAAGGAAGCATGAAGATTCTGCCCTGGGATTAATTGTTGATTTTGACATAGATTTGGTATTGGATTAGTTGTGAACCAAAAAGTTGGGAGGAATAAAACAAAAGCTGACTGTTGGAAACTAATCTCATAGACACTATTTGGATTAAATTATTAGACAAAAATGTGTAAAATGGCAATATCTCTTCTGGAATTAAAAATGGAATGTAAAAAACATTACAAGAGCAAGGTGAATTGTTGGGCTTTGCTTTAAAATTTATGGAAAACGTGATTGCAGAATATGAACAAAGACAAAAGACAGAAGAGGTGGAGCTGACTACAGAAGAGGCCATTTTTAACTATCATCAGGAACAAAGAATTTTGGAAAGGAGGAGGAAAAGAGTGGGAAATAAAAATATGAGATGTAAGAAGTTAAATAAAGAGGGAAATATCCGAAAAATTAAAAAAGGTAAAAAGAAACAGCAGAAATTTGAAGGGTGGAAAGAAGATATAAATAGGAATGGAGATAAAAACTGGAGTAGAAGAAGAAAGGGGAAAATGAAAGGGAAGAGAAGGGATAAGAAACAGGATCTGGAAACAAAGAAATATGGGAATTGTAAAAAAATGAAAAGAAACTGCTTATTTAGAAGGCATAGAGACTGGCTGATTAATATTCAAAAAGGGGATTCTGCAAGGTAGCATAAACATACTTAAAGTTATGAATATTGTAGGAAATAGGGATATATAGATTAAGATGAAAAACAAATACCTTTTGATATTGGAATGTTAGCTCTTATATGTATAGAGATAAATTGGAATAATTAATGGAATATGTTTACTAAATATACTGAAATAATTGAAATATGAGGCAGGCTGTAATGAAGTAGACATTTTCTAGTATTGGAATGCAGGCTCCTTTGTTTAAATGTATAAAGATGAATGGAATAATTAATGGAATATGTGTATTAAATATATTGAAATAACTGAAATGATAAAGGGGGAGAGCTGAAATGGAATTAACATCAGAATTCAGGATTAAATGAATAGATTAATATGTTCTCTTTTTTGAAATTGTAAATAAGTCTTATGAAATTAAAAAGGGGAAAAACCATGCAGAATCTGATTTATATATGCTATGTAGTTTTAAAGGGATTATTAATTTCAATTTTTTGGGTAATAAAAAGTTAAATGATTAATGGGATTTAAAAGGGGAGATAATTGATCAATATGTAATACTTAGAGGTGGCACACTTAAATTGATAATTTTGGTGGGACAACTATTTCTTAGAAAGATTGTATCAAATTAGAATTTAAGATGAAATATGCAAATGTGACAGTTAAAAGTATTAAAGTATAATAATTATGAAGATATCAGAAATACTGATGAATTAAATAAGAGGCAAGCATTTGGAATAATACAATAAAATAGAAAATATATAAAAGCATTGTTAAGATAAGTTGAATATAAAAACTGAATATGTAACTATGGTCATATTGGTATGTAAATGTGGAAACCTGTAATCATACTGTTCACTAAAAAGAGATGTTTTTAAAATGTGGAAAACTGAAATAAAACTTGTTGTTTTTTTTAAAGTCAAGAATGAATAATAAATGAACAAAGCAATCTCTGAAGGATACATGATTGCTGTCATCTAGTCTAAATAATGCAAGAGTTTTAATTAATTGCAATCAAATTCTGCCTAATTTGTTGCAAATAGAGTATAAATCTCTACTGATAACAGGAGCTAAATGTTACTTGTATTTTAAGATTTGTGTTCTTTTTCTTTCTTTGATCTATCAATAGCATGTCTTTCATTTTATTTGAAATGCATAGACAGATGCAATTTGGTAAGGATGGTATTCTTCATTTTCCATATAAGCCCTGCTTACAGTGATAAGTATATTCAATTTTTAAAAATCAGAAATGGGACCAAACACTATTTAAAAAGTATTTGCCATTTATATGGATATTCATATACTGTATTTATTTCTTCAGTTTTTAGGAGCTCAAAGCAGCACATATATTATTCCCTTTTCCCCTTTTTCTGTACACCAATAACACTTTGAGATTGGCAGGGTACAAAACACTAAGTTTCTGTAGCTGCAGGTGAACCTGGTGTTATGGTGCCAATCCAGTTCCTGAATGACTACGTTACATTGGCTGTCAAAAATTGTTAAATGTTACTATCATCTTTCCTCCAGGATCTCTTAGAATAAACACAGCATTCCCTTCTCCCATTTTTAACATTTGAGGATGGGCCGAGAATGTTTGATTGGCCCAAAGTTATCAGTGAACTTTTGTGATAGGATTAAACCTGATACTCCCTGACCTTAGTTTAAGAAGAAGAATTCTTTTATTGGCCAAGTGTGGTTGGACACAAGGAATTTGTCTTGGTGCAAATACTCTCAGTGTACAGAAAAGAAAAGATACATTCTGGGTTACAGAACCAAACCAGACAGTTATAGAGGTGTAGACGATAGACTCAATAATTCCTCTGTAGAACTGTTATCAGCAGCTCCTTGGGCAGTTTGAGCTTTCTGAGCTGGCACAGAAAGAACATTCTTTGTTGTGCTTTTTTGATGACATTTTTGATGTTAGGTGTCCATTTTAGGTCATGTGATATATGTTAATTGCTACCCTGCACTGACTCTGAGCTCTCATATGGCTATAAATAATTATAAATAATAGTATGATATAGTGGTTAAGATGCCACCTAGAAATCAGCAGACTGTGAGTTCTATTCTCCCCTTAGGCATGTAAGATGACTGGATGACTTTGGGCCACTCGCGCTTTCTCAGCCAACCTATTTCACAGGATTATTATTGTGGGGAAAATAGGAGGAAGAAGCATTAGGTATGTTCACCACCTATAATTACTTATAAAGGAATAAAAGTGGGATAAAATTAAATAAAGTTGAATATAAATATCAGGGACTTCTATCCTCTGTTAAACAATTTTTTCTCACCTCAAAGTATGAAAAAAAAATTTCTCACCTCTTCATTATGCCTGGTATTTAAAATGGTAAGAATTTGTACATTCAAAGCTCACTTTCCAAGAAGTAATTGTATCTCTGATGCATACCAGTAGCAACCAATCCAGTGGCGGGATTAAAAAAATGTTACTACCGGTTCTGTGGGCGTGGCTTGGTGGGCGTGGCAGGGGAAGGATACTGTAAAATCTCCATTCCCACCCCACTAACCTGCTTTCCAGCTCCATACTCCTGTGCAGGGCAACAAAAGAAGACCCAGCTGATCAGCTGGGACTCCAATCAGCTGGGACTCAGGAGTCAGAGAATAGATGGGGGTGGGGCCAGTCAGAAGTGGTATTTGCCAGTTCTCCAAACCACTTAAAATTTCCGCTACCAGTTCTCCAGAACTAGTCAGAACCTGCTGAATACTACCTCTGAACCCATCTACAGTATTTCCCTCTCCTCAACTGCCACTTTACACCTTCCCAACTGACTAAAATTAATTGCTAAAAAACTCTCAAATATAACTCTGTGAATGTTTTTTACTTAAACAAAAAGATAAATAATCAGAAAAATGAGCATGATATAGAATAAGATGTAAGCACCGGTTTTTTTTTAATTAATTGCTTATGCAATAGGACACAAATTCTGTAAATAAATACTGATATTACTGCATAGTCAAATATAAGGAAATTTGAAGCCCTATTTAAAGTTTCAGCAAAAGAAAAATATAGCTTGCAAAAACAAAGAGGAATTTCATTTGCTCTAATTGTTTCTCCCATTCCATTTATTGGCTGGTATTTATGACAAATTTCTACATAGAATAATACTTCCAATTCAAACTTACAGAAATAATCCACTAGGCGGAGCTCAGAGAAAAGCAGTTTAAGCATCTTTCAATGAAATGTGCAATAATTTGCCATTTATATTTCCTCAGACTGCCTTCCTGTCTCTGGTTTCTCAAAGGCATTTTCAGTAAACAAGGCCCTATCAAACTTTAAAAGAAAAAAATCCAAAAACAAAAACTCTTTGTTAGCTTTCTAGAAAGGGATCTCTGAAATTTTGATGCCTGCTATGTCTGGAGTAAACCAAATCAAGAAGGCTAGTTTTAGAATAGCTTCAGCAGGGTTGTACTAATACATACTCATTCAGATTATGTCAAAGCAATTTTATAAACAGTGGAAATAGTTGATATTACAGTCCAATACTAAATGACAGAACACATCAAAAGCAAATGAGAACAATTCAGTCTTGGGCTCATGAGTATTAAGTATCCTTTATGGGATTCAAACCAGATAAATTCATGTGATCATACCAATAATTCTACGTTATTGATTAGTGGTTAGTGGGAATTCCAAAAATTCTATGTTATTGATAAGGGTTAGTGGGAATTCCAAAAATATACTTTAGTTTTCATCTTGATTATAATTGATTCATATTTTTCAGAGCATAAATGTAAACCCATTTTCCCTTAAGGAGGCAAACTTTACTTTGATACCGATTTCAAATTTAACCTCCACTAGTTTTTCAAAAATTTATTTACATATGTAACACAAAAAAATCAAACTTTATGATGTATAAAAACATTTATTATAAATATTTTCACTAAAACATGCAATTTTTATCAAATATAATCTGTGGATTTGCAAATACAGTTTTAATTACTAGCAATTCTTTTACCCACTACTATATATTCAACAGGCTGCTTTTTTATTATTCTGCACTCACAGTTTAGTATCACAGTATAAAAAGCTAAATGTGAAAACAAAGAAATAGAGAATATATTTGTTGGCAATCTCATGGCAAGATTAGTAAAGCAGCAAGCATTTTTCTTCTCTATGTATGTAGACATATACACGTGTAAATTCTGTATACAATAGAATCTTGTTGAACTATATTACAGGTTCTGCTTTGAAATCTAGTTTTTCTTGCAAACTGTTGGAACTGGCAAATAATTTCAACATCTTATGAAAGTGATAACTCTGCAAAAAGGAGTTTAATTCTCAATAATGATCCACAAGTAGTATGAGGATTTCCAGAGTGGAAAGCTAATGTACCCTAAACTATACTGCTCCCTTAATCTCTTATTGATAGAAATTTCGTAACGTTAAAACTCAATGACTAAAATACACAGAAATAAAAGGGAAAAAAGGTTCTGGTCCCATGCAAATCATATAAAAGAATGTGACCACAAAAATACAGAACTAAGGCAGAAGACCTAAGATCAGAACTGTTACTTGCTTTGTTACCAAGAAAAGAGGAAAAAATGAATGGTGAATGTTGTATCTTTGATATGTACTCAGCACTGTTAAATAGCAGTTTAGATTCAGAAAAGTACACATGGAATTTCACTTGTGCAGTTTGGATTTTCCATCTCCTCTTTCCAGCTGTAGCCTGTGGTGCCCCTTAAACATTTTCTCATGACTGTCATGGAAAAATTTAGAGGTATTTAAGTCTAACTTGGGAGAGAAGTTGAATCAGCAGAATGAAAAAATGTAACTGTCATTCAGATAAGAATATTTTTGGATTGCAGGAAAAATCTAATAACTAAAAATTTCCTTTATCCCATTGTCCCCAGTACCACCATCAGAAACTTGTTTTCTAATATACAGAACACTTGGAATTAGAGCATTCCAGCTTATCTGAGAAGCAAGGTCTTATTGTGAAAGTAAAGCAGAGCTAAGCATTATATAGCATTATATATTATATAGAAATTCTAAAGAATATTTTATAACTATTGATGCAGGACTGTTTAGAATGACAAAAAATGAAATTGCCAGTATTCAATTTACTTATGAGGAGTTTCAACATTTGCTAATGGGACTTCATTATTAGGATACTTAATTCTTCTAAGCAATTATTATTAAGAGTATAGGGCCTACTGGAATTACATCTAGCATTTGCAATTTCTGAATGCTACCATTGGTGGCACATCCTCCAGCACCTAATAAACAGGAGCTTCAAAAACAAAAAAGAAAAAGAGCTATCATATCACTTCTGTTTCCATTTAGGTAGGTGTCTAATCACAGACAAAGCTTGTAAGAATGTACACCAATTTCTGGTGACACATTTTTTCCACTATTGACTGAATGCTGACTTGAGTTCTCGGAAGGCTGCTCTGCGGTGCCGTCTTTCCTCTTCCTCACGTTTTCGCTCATCTTGTTCTGCTTTTATTTCTGCTTCAAATTTGCTTGCTGAAGACAAAGCTTGAACCTAAAATTCAGGTATAAAATAGTAATATCATTATTACCATTGTAACAATTGTAAAACACACTGTATTCAGTAGGGCTTAGCTCATTATAGAGGTACGCAGCTTGTGCAGAGAAAAGAAATTCACTACATTTGTGAGTAGCATTACAATGGCCACATTTCAAGGACAGGACAAATATTTGAATTGATTTAAATAAGAACAAAATTCATTTTGTGTCATTGTTTTCTACACATTTAACAATTTGTAATGACTTTTAGAAAAACCCAAGATACCTTACATATGTTTTTTTTACCTTTGCTTCAAAAAAATTTTTGGCTCCTTTTACTCCTTCAAGAGCCACATCTATTTCAGAGAGCTTTGCTAAAGCCATCAGTCCACTGTCTTCTTCAAGTTCTCCAGCTGCAGCTTTATGGAAAATCAGAAGAAACTAGGGGGAAAAAGACAATGGGAAATTATTTAGAAAAAATTAATCAATAAAATTAAACTCCAAGTCTAAGATTGGAGATTCAAAATTAAAGTTCTGCATTTATTCAGAAAGTGTATGTTTAGGGTCCAAGTAGATAAAGAAGATTTGTGGCTAGATCATCCCTTATTTAAATGTTTATTTAAAAGCTCCCATAACTATAGCAACTGTAGACATATACATACAGAGAACACTACACTGGGGAAGATTAGGTTAACATTTTTCTGCAATGTTATTTCCCTTACTCTCTCCACTCAAATGTTGGCAGTAGTAATTGGTATCTGTGAGCAAGTGCTTAGTACTCCAAGCAGGTAGCTGTGATATAGCCAACATCATAAAATAGTTCCCATAAATGCCTTCATGGCAACATTGCTCTAGGACATTGTTTGGAATTTTTTAAAAGCCCTATTCTGCTAAAACATTGCCATTACAGTCTGGTAAATCCACTAGGGCAGGGGTTGCCAACCTTTTGGACCTCAGGGACCACCAAACTCATAATTTTAAATCCCGGGGACCACTAATATGAATTTTGACTGACGGTGGCTTGCTGACGTTGGTGGGAGAGAGAGAGAGAGATCTGATCTAAACTCTCTCTCTCTCTTTCTCTCTCTCTCTCTCACACACACACAGGCAGGGGTAGAATTCAAATTTCTTAACAACCTGTTCTGTGGTCGTGGCCTAATTTGTGGGCGTGGCTTGGTGGTCATGTGACTGGCTGGGCATGGCTTGTATGTAAATATTATAAATATTTATGTAAATATTGAATTTTTAATGTAAATATTGAATTTTTTATTAAAAAAGAGCAACTTTTACCCAAAATCAGGCAAAGCAGGCAGGCAGATTGAGTTGCTCACAGAATCACAG